CAGGCGCCCCAATGTTTATTTATTTTTGAGACAGAGTGTGAGAGGGGGAGGGGAAGAAAAAGAGAGAGAGAGAGACATAGAATCCGAAGCAGGCTTCAGGCCCTGAGCTGTCAGCACGGGGCCAGACGTGGGGTTCAAACTGACGAACCAAGATATCATGACCTGAGCTGAAGTTGGAAGCTTAACAACTGAGCCACACAGGCAACCCTAGTCTTGTCACTTCTCTGAAAATGTATTGTTCTCTTATTAACACGCTATAAGAAGCCCAAGTTCTAATCACTCCTTTGAATTACTCACCACTGGGTGCTTCCTTGTGTTTGTGTGATGTACATTTTAATAAACGTGTTTTTCTCTTAGTCATCTGTGTCTGACAGACTAATTTACAAGGCTCCAATCAGATAATTTAAGGTGGTAGAGGAAAAACATTGTGTTTCTTCTCCTATACTCCTAGAGGAATCACCATAGTCTGATTTTTTTCTGTGTCTCAGCTCCTGTCTCTCCTACCCCTTAGTTCCCATGCCCGGCCCTTCTGGACCTGTTCAGCTCTTCAAGTTTAATGTGCCTCTTCTCTCTTCAGAGTTTAAGAGAAGGTTCAGCTCAGCTGAGGCATCTCTGCATCCAGGAAGCCTTCCTGGTCTTCTGCCTAAGTCATGGCCACTGCCACCTCGTGTTAGCACCCCATCATCCTACACTCACCATCAGGGTCATATGCTCAAGGTGGGACTCCATCTCATGAACCATGAGATCATGACTGAGCCAAAATCAAGAGTTGGACACTTCACTGACTGAGCCACCCAGTCTGAGTCTGTTTTTTACAGTCAAGAATGTTTCTTGGCTTCTCGCTTTCCTCCTTTGATCATTTATTTCTTAAATTCCACATATGAGTGAAATAATATGGGATTTGTCCTCCTCTGACTTATTTCGCTATTATACTCTCTAGACCCATCCGTGTCATTGCAAATGGCAAGATTTCATGCTTTTTAATGACTAAATAATATTCCATTGTATATAAATACCACATCTTCCCTATTCATTCATTTATTGATTGACATTTGGGCTGCTTCCATATTGGCTATTATAAATAATGGTGCGATAAATGTAGGGGGTGCCTGTATCCCTTTGAATTAGTGTTTTTGTATTTTTTGGGTAAATACCCAGTAGTGTGATTACTGGGTTGTAGGGTAATTCTATTTTTAATTTTTTGAGGAACCACCAACACCATTTTCCACAGTGGCTGCCCCAGTGTCCATTCCCACCAAGAGTGCAAGAGAGTTCCTTTTTCTCTACATCCTCACCAACACTTGTTGTTTCTGAGCAATCTTGGGTGTTTTTTAGGGTAGAACTGAGCAAAATGCTGTGCTCAACAGAGAACTATATATTAATGTTTTCTCAAATGCAACCAGCTAGTTAATCCTGATACTTCCTTAACACAGAATAGCAACCAAACACGATAGCTGCCACTTGTTTATTGAGCACCTATTATGGTCAAGGCACTTTAGAAACATCATCTCCAATCATCCTCCCAAAACTCTGCCAGGACATATTCTTATCCATATTTTACATATGAGAACACAGAATCAGGAAATAAGTACTTGGCAAAGCCACAAGCTACTAAGTATTAAAGTACTTTGTTTTACACAATGTTAAGGAAAGGTAATTATCTAGAAAGCTTTTCACAGACACAAGCATCTTGATTTTCTAGGAATATTTCAAAATAATTATCAGGAAGCGCACTTGGCTGGCTCAGTTGGTGGAGCATGAGACTCTTGATCTCAGGGTCTTGAGTTCAAGTCCCACGTTGGGTGTAAAGATTACTTAAACAAATAAACTTAAAGATGCCTATGGGGGGGGGTGCCTGGGTGGCTCAGTTGGTTAAGCTTCCAACTTTGGCTCAGGTCATGATCTCAAGGCTTGTGAGTTCGAGCTCCACATTGGGCTCTATGCTAACAGCTGGAGCCTGCTTCAGATTCTGTGTCTCCCTCTCTCTCTCTGCCCCTTCCCCATTCATACTCTTATCTCTCTAAAAAATAAATAAACATTAAAAATTTTTTTAATGGGATAAGAAGGATTTTGATAAACAGATGAGTCCTTAAAGGATTAATGGTAAAGAGGGATATGTTGGCTGCATACCTCCCCACCTGTTTAAGAAAAGACCATCTTTCCCAGACTTCAAGCTGTATTACAAAGGTATACTCATCAAGATAGTATGGTACTGGCACAAGAACAGACACTCGGATCAATGGAACAGAAAAGAGAACCCAGAAATGGACCCACAAACGTATGGTCAACTAATCTTTGGCAAAGCAGGAAAGAATATTCAATGGAATAAAGACACTCTCTTCAGCAAGTGGTGCTGGGAAAACTGAACAGCGACATGTAGAAAATGAACCTGGACCACTCTCTTACTCAAAAATAAACTCAAAATGGATGAAAGACCTAAATGTAAGACAGGAAGTCATCAAAATCCTCGAGGAGAAAGCAGGCAAAAACCTCTTTGACCTTGGCCGCAACAACTTCTTACTCAACACGTCTCCGGAGGCAAGGGAAACAAAAGCAAAAATGAACTACTGGGACATCAAAATAAAAAGCTTCTGCACAGCGAAGGAAACAGTCAGCAAAACTACAAGACAACCGACAGAATGGGAGAAGATATTTGCAAATGACATATCAGATAAAGGGTTAGTATCCAAAATCTATAAAGAACTTCTCAAACTCAACACCCAAAAAACAATCCAGTGAAGAAATGGGCAAAAGACATGAATAGACACTTCTCCAAAGAAGACATCCAGATGGCCAACCACCACGTGAAAAAATGCTCAACATCAGGGAAATACAAATCAAAACCACAATGAGATACCACCTCACACCTGTCAGAATGGCTAACATTAACAACTCAGGCAACAACAGATGTTGGTGAGGATGCAGAGAAAGAGGATCTCTTTTGCACTGCTTGCTGGTGGGAGTGCAAACTGGTACAGCTACTCTGGAAAACAGTATGGAGGTTCCTCAAAAAATTAAAAATAGAACTACCCTACAACCCAGCAATTGCACTAGGTTTTTATCCAAGGGATACAGCTGTGCTGTTTCAAAGGGGCACATGCACCCCAATGTGTATAGCAGCACTATCAACAATAGCCAAAGTATGGAAAGAGCTCAAATATCCATCAAGGGATGAATGGATAAATGGAGTATTATTCGACAATCAAAAAGAATGAAATCTTGCAAAAAGAATGAATTTGCAACTACATGGATGGAACTAGAGGGTGCTATGCTAAGCAAAATTAGAGAAAGAAAAATACCATATGACTTCACTCACATGAGAACTTTAAGATACAACAGATGAACATAATGGAAGGGAAGCAAAAATAATTTAAAAGCAGGGAGGGGGACAAAACATAAGAGACTCAACTATGGAGAACAAACAGGATTACTGGAGGGGTTGTGGGAGGGGGGGTGGGCTAAATGGGTAAGGGGCACTAAGGAATCTATTCCTGAAATCACTGTTGCACTACATGCTAACTAACTTGGATGTAAACTTAAAAAATAAATAAATAAATTTTTTTAAAAGAAAAGAAAAGCCCATCTTTCACCAAGCAAGAAGAGCACCTACCATTTATCAGCTGGGTGTTGCGATCTCTATATTGTCAAAGTTGTTAGACATAAAAAGACAAACAGGGACATAACAGATCCCATGGAAGCTGAGGACTTGCCAGACTGAGGTTTTCGCAAGGCAGATGCTTCAACTTAGATGAAGCACTTCTCCGCTATTATTTGATGAACTTGGTCCAGACTTCTAGCCATAAATCTCAGCTGCTTCACCTGTAAATGAGGAGATATGCCTGCCCTGCCCTCTCTTAAACTGACCTTACTCTGACCAAGGAAAATACCTTCCTTCCTCATAGGCTGAACTGGGCTCGGGAAATTAAAGTACGGCAATTATGACCTGAGAAAATGCTACAGTAGGAAAAAAGGGAAGGAAAAAAGAGAGGAATAAGGACGCTTTTCCTCCCAACTCCCCAAAATGGTCACCAGTCATGTGAATTCTTCAGGATCACTAGAGGCCAACATTCTAGAGTTGGGGTGCTCCTCGGGCATCAGCTAGTGCTGTCTCCAGACTAGGCAGGACCAAGCTGCTCCAGGCACAGCGAGGAACTGAGGAACCGGCACTGCCTGGTCCCTCTGAGCCTTTCTCATTTTCCAAACCACTGCCCTGATGATCAAGAGGCCATAGGCTGCATGTAACTTGAACCAAACTTATTCTTAACGGACAGAAAAACACTGGCGGGAACCAGGCCAGTTTATGAAATAGTGATTGTCTTGAAAGGTGGGTTTAACACTTTTCGTACTTTCCTGTACTTGTAAGTACTTTTGTGTGCTTAACCTCGCTGTTTATTTCTCCATCTGTACCTAGTTAGGAAAATTATAGCACTTAAAACGGTCTGACATGTAACTATTCAGTGAATGCCAGCTTTCATGATTTCTTCCAAGATTTTCTACGAAGAAGAGGGATTTGTATCATGAAAAATACCCCTTAAAAGTTCTATTATTGTTTTTAACAAACATCCCATAACGGAAAAATTTTTACCTTTTCAGCATTAGTATCCTCACCCCTTCCCTATTTCCCAATTTGAAGTAGCAAGTTGCAAACTACTGTAGTAATTTGCGGAGATGTCGGCCTTTTCTTTTTTTTTACAACACATTCCAAACCTTTATAAAGAGCTACATCGGTCAACTCCCGCGCTGAAGCGCGCGGACCGAGCAAAGAATCTGGAGAGAAGGCCTCTAGCTTTCCCAGAGGCGAGTCGTTCCCTCCGCACCCGGATAAAAGCACCCACTTCCGCCATTAGGGCGCGCGACGGAAAATGGAGGCTCCAGGCCCTCCCCGCGGCGGCCGGGAGTTCGGCGCCTGCGCCCTGCCGGCCCGCTCCGCCCCACCCCAGCTCGCGAGGCCGTTACGGCCGTTGAAGGAGGACGAGGGGAGGGGAAGGAGCGCCGCCCAACGCCCCACCCGGCGCCCCAGCGCGCGGTTCCGGCGAGCCCGGCTCCGGCCCCGGTAGTCCGCTCCAGGCCGCTCCGGACCGCTAACCGCTCCGTAGGTGCTGGCCGCGCTCCGTGCTTTCCCTCCAGCCCTTTGTGTCCCGGCGCGCGTCGGAGGGAACGCGGGAACGCGCGCCGTGCCGTGCGCCTGCGCAAGGGGGCGGGACGGCGCGCCTTGCCAGGAGTCGTGAGTGGGCGCTGTTCCGGGTCGCCCCGTCCCGCCCCGCCCCCAACCGCCATTTCGTGCTCCGGCGCGCGCGGACTCCGCGTGATGGACGCCCGGAAGCAGGGACAACAAAGGCCCCTGCGCAAGGGCCGCCCGGTCTGCTGATCTTTCCGCTGCTCGCGGGGCGAAGATGGCGCCCAGACCCTACAGCTGTGCCCGAGTTTGGGTCGAATGGGCGCCTCTACTTTCTCTGGACTAGGCCTGAGAGTTGGCCCAAGGGGCATGCAGGACCTCGTGTGTGCACAACCCTGGGGTGTGCCTCTTTCCACGTGTGTACAACCTCGGGACAGTGCACTCGTCCCAGTATACGTAGACTTGTGTTTGCACCATCCGATATGCACGAACCGGTGGGTTTCCACGTTTTCCTCTGTGCACGATCTCAAGGATTTGCTTTTCACACGAGTGTGCGCACACTTGTGTTTGCACCGAATGGCTGTCCACAGAGGTACGGGTGTGTACGGATTCCTGTTCGCACGAACCTGAGACGTGCACAGGTGCATGGATGCATGAGTCTGGTATATGCACCAACTTGTGTTTGCCCTGGGACGTGTGCAGACCCATTAGTGCAAGCTCGGCCTCCCGCAGTCAGGAGCACCCTCAAAAACTATGGTGTTTCTGGACTGTTTTGGATTCTTTAGCCCTTGCTGAGTTTACATGCGAAGAATAAACACCTGCCTGCTACTCTATGCTATTCTTAAGCTTTCTTTTAATCTTTCTTCTTTCCTTCCAGCTCATTGGGCGTCTCCCACTTTGCATTGGGGCCACGCAGTGACAGCGATGGGTAGCTAGTGAAAGAAACACAAAGAAATGGGCAGTTACGGGCAACACGGTGAAGTTGGGAAGGAGTCCCCTGGCCCGAAAGATTTGAAAAACCTTTTTGGAGAAAGCATGAGCCAAGGCCAGGGCCTGGCTACAGAGGGAATCAGGGGTCAAGTCCCAATTTCCTGTTCAGGCCTGAGAAGTTTTTTCTAGAAGGCATTTAAACAGGAGATGCCACCAAATTCCTTTTGAGACTATGGGGTTGAAGGAGAAGAGGCGGGTGATAGGAGGGTATGTGGTAAAGAGGACTGTTTGTGGGGCCCAAGGAACAAGAGAGTGGGAACAGGCTCAGAAGGAAAGTGGCCTCCCCAGGGAAGGAATGGGGTATGAAAACAGGATGGGGGACTATGGTCTCGCCAGCTGTTTACACCTCCTGGTGTTTCAGGCTCTTCTGTGTTGAGCACACTCCTCTCTCTGGGGGAGAGACAAAGACTTAAGCCCCAGGGCTGACCTTTACTGGCTGGGTGCCTGGGCAAGCACCTATGTCAGTGGAGAAGTCTGCAGGCACAGAGCAAGAATAACCCAGAATAAACATGGGATGTTAGCATTTATGCTGGACTGACTTTAGAAGTTCCTTGTCTGACCCTCTTTGTCCTGTTATCAAAGAACCACCTCTTCAGCATACATTTCATATGGTTATGAATATTTTCTTGTTATGCTTGCTATTCGTAGGTATATTTTATGGGCATAAAAATACATCAACTCTAACATGCCTCTACATTCCCATTGAGAACCCCTCTACGACAAACCCCAATATGTTATCATTTGAATGTGTCTCATGATGGAGGACACTTCACAGGACAGCCTTTTTGGGGAAGCATAAAAAATTTATCCTTATGAGCCCCAGATCTTTAGGATATGAAATGAAGGTCCGCACGTGCATGTGTGTGTGTGTGTGCGCGCCCCAAAAGATAATTTTCTGAGCATATGCTGTGTGTTAGGCTTGTGTTAAGGCTAGGCATATAGCAGTGAAGGGGAACAAAATATACTACCCCAAAATATGCCTCTTTAGCATAACGATTATTTTAGGCTGGTTAGTTTTCAGAGACTGCAAACACAGGGGAAGCTCTGAAAACTGAGTAGAAGTTACCCTTTTGTAAGAAACATTTACATTTATAAGGGAAATCTCCATTTCTAAGGGTGACTCCTTCACAGTACGGAGAAGAGGAGGATGACTCTAAATCTTTAGAAACTCTTATCAATGGAGAAGACAAGGACTTAAATCTACCTTACACTTTTTTATTGTGCTTTGCTGGTAACTTCCTATAATTGATCCCTACCCCCAGCATCTTTTGTCTTTAGCTGAAAATGGTATCTAAGATGATGGGTTTGGCCATTGGGTATTTTATTCAATTACGCATGTATGCTTTTGTTTGTTTTTCTCTTGTTAATCTCTCTTGTATCAGTTTAATTATTAGGCCAGCCAAAGAAACTAGAAGGGAAGAAGGGAAAACTTCATCACCCCTGCAGCAGCCAAACACTTCCTGCCTCTAGGAGCTTATAGACCCAAATTGCAGGACACTAGGGTCCAAGAGCAAAATAGCTTCGTCACACCTGATATGATGCTGAAAGTCTATGCAATGTGGATTACAGCCCGCTGGGCTGCCCCTGTGCCTCTGGGATTAAAACTCTAGGGATGAGGGGCGCCTGGATGGCTCAGTCGGTTAAGCGTCCGACTTCAGCTCAGGTCACGATCTCGCGGTCCGTGAGTTCGAGTCCCGCGTCAGGCTCTGGGCTGATGGCTCAGAGCCTGGAGCCTGCTTCAGATTCTGTGTCTCCCTCTCTCTCTGCCCCTCCCCCGTTCATGCTCTGTCTCTCTCTGTCCCAAAAATAAATAAACGTTTAAAAAAAAAATTAAAAAAAAAAACAACTCTAGGGATGGGACACCTAGGTGGCTCAGTCTGTTAAGTGTCCTACTCTTGATATCAGCTCAGGTCATGGTTGTGGGATTGAGACCCATGTCGGGCTCTAAGCTGAGCGCGGAACCTGCTTGGGATTCTCTCTCCCTCTTTCTCTGCCCTTCCCCCACTAGAGCATACGCTCACACGCTCTATCTCTCTCTCTCTCAAAATAAGTAAAAAATTGGGGCGCCTGGGTGGCTCAGTTGGTTAAGTGTCCAACTTCAGCTCAGGTCATGATCTCATAGTTTGTGAGTTCAAGTCCCATGTCAGGCTCTGTGCTGACAGCTCAGAGACTGGAGCCTGCTTCAGATTTTGTGTCTCCCTCTCTCTCTGCCCCTTCCCCACTCATGCTCTGTCTCTGTCTTAAAAAAGTAATAATAATAAAATAAAAATAAGTAAAAAATAATAAAATATTAAAAAATAATAAAACAACTCACAGACCTGGCTAGCTTAGTCTGCAGAGCATGAGACTCTTGTTCTCGGAGCTGTGGGTTCGAGCTCCACGTTGGATGTAGAGAGTGCTTCAAAATAAAATCTTTGGGAAAAAGAAAAACTGGGGAGCTGTGAAGGTGCAGACTGGATGGGTGCACAACCCCTGCTACCCTACCATGGGGGGTGACCTTGCCAAACATAACCTCCCTCTCCCATATGCATTCCACAGTTGCCCCAGTCCTGGGCATGGTCCATAGTCCTTGCTACTGGGGTTAGGGAGAACTGACCTCCTGATCAGCAGCACCAGGCACTTTATGCAGAAAAAACCACTAGGGACCTTCCTCACAAGGGCACTGTGGGCTGTCTTTAGGGGTGGGAGCAATCCTGCCGAGCCCTCTTGTCAGCCACTTCTGGGCAGCCCTGCCTGCCTGGGAGGTGGGGCCTTGGGGATAAATGGCTGCTGTAACAGTGTCACTCAGGCAAGGGTGACATGCCACCACTTTAATCCACCAGCAGGGCTGGCCACAGGCTGGCACCTCCTAGGAAACCAAGCCTGAGATCTGATCTAAATCAAATCCAGGTAACCTGGAAGGAGGTGAGGTGGGCCCACCCCCTCCTGCTGAACTGGCTGGTTGTACTGGATCACCGCTCCGCATTTCACACTTTTTCCAAAGGCCAAGGATCTGGGTGATATCATCCTCCCTGAACGGCTCTTTATGGAGTATGCTCCAGAGTCACGCTTCCCGGTCCCCCAGTCCCTGAGCAGAGGACCAGAACTGCCCCCTCTAAATGCTGGGCTGGGCGTGGGATCCGGCCCAGGAAACACCTGGTGGGGAATTCGTCTAGCTCCCAAAAGTAAACCACAGAGACCTTGAAGGCACCGCCCTTGGGCACCTTCTTACCTCCAAGGGTCACATTTAAGTGTGTGTGTGGGGGGGGGGGGGGATCCCTGGAGAAATGAGGCCGTTTGTAGAAGAATAAATACCAACTTGTGCCTGCCCACTTCTTGCAGAGGTCTGTGGGCTTGTTCGGGGCCTGTGTAAATAATTTAATGGAAAACTCCAGAAGGGAGACAGTCCACGTGAGCCTGACCTTTGCCTGCCAGCAGGCAGGTTATAATATGTTTCTCCTCTAAGGAGTGACTGGGACTCAGGATGCCTCGGTCCCAATCCAGAGAAATAAGACACTGCTCTGGACTCCCGGAGAGGGACAGTTGGCCGAGTGTGCCCGCTTCTAATGGGCGGGAGGGATTTCTTCAGGGGGGACCATCCCTCCGGGCCCGGGTCACACATCCCAGAGTCTGAGATGGCAAAGCCAGGGAGGGCCCTGGTGGTCCCGGACGCGTCCCGTCCTCTCCCCCACCCCCATCCCCCGCAGGGCAGCCCGGGTCCCAGCCTTCCGCAGGGGGCTTGGGGCAGGAGAAGGCTTCCGGCCGATCCCACCCAGCCCGGCAGGGCGTCCCCCTCGGGCGGCAGGGCCGGCCGACCCCGCGAGCCGCCCTCCCAGTCCGCCTCCCCGGGCCGCGGGCGGCTCCTCCTCGGTGCACCCGCCCCTGCCCGGCCCGTCCAGGAGGCGGCGAGCGGGGAGGAGGGGAGGCGGGGAGAGGGGGCGGGAGCGAGCGGGCCGCTGCCCGGAGGCCGCGCCGCCCAGGCGCAAACATTTCCTTATGTGGTGGCTCCGCGGGCCAGGGCGGCGCCCGAGGGGCTGCTGGGGACGGCGGGCACGCCCGGGGCCTCGCGGCCACCCTGGCTCACTGGCACGGCCGCCGCTGCGCGCGGGAACCTGGCCTCCTCTGATGGACAAAACCAAGGGGAAAGGCCCCCTGCCCTGTTCTCTGTCCCCCTGCCCGTGTCGCACGTTCCCCTAGAAGGAAGTGGTCACTGTTTGTCGGCCAGAACCCTCCCGCTCGCCGACTTCCCCTCTGCGTTTGTGGGGAAAGTAGCCCTGAGATCTGGAGTTCAAGGCGGAGACCTCTCAGGTCTGGGCGAGGAAGGGGCGAGGGGTGGGCTGCCTGGCCGGCTGCTGGGTCCCCTCGCCTGGTCCACCGCCCTGGCGCCTCCTTGGTCCATCTGCACAATGGGGCACCCTCATTTGCCTCGGGAGCTATATTTGGCCGTGGAGGGATAACAGGGTGACTCATGGGAGGGATGGCCCAGGGGCGGGAAGGCCCAGGGGCGGGAAGTGGATGAGAGGCATCGCAGAATGCCTGCTGCCTTCTGTTTCAGGGGGGCTTCAGGCTCCGAGCCTCCAAGAACGCTCCGCATCAAAACGTGGGCCCCACGGGCTGCCTTCTGGCTGCAGGGGCAGGCCTCCAGAGCCTGATTAGGGCACCCCGGCCCTGACACAATCCCCACCCGAGGTTCTGAGCTGTCTGCCTTGACCCTCTGAACTGTCCTGGATTCTGAGGCCAGTATCTGTGCCAATTACAGCCTTTGAGCAAACTTTAATGTCTGATAGGGCAGGTTCCCTATGGGATATTTTTTAAGTGGGGCTTTCAGCAAGAAGCTTGCCACCCTAGTGAATCTCTAGTGGGTCTAATTTCAGGGAGTATAATTTGACGCTGCATCTCAGGGATATGTCTGGTCCTGGAGGCCTTGGCATGCAGCACCACCCCCAACAGGCTGAAGGAGAAAAAACTCTGCTTGGCTCCCAGCCCTCCTCTCCAGCTTCCCCGTGACTCCCATCCCTCCTTCTGCAGCCCCTAGATTCCTGGCTCCCTGGGGTCTGCCTCTGAGTCACGGGGCACTCATGCCCAAGCTGCCTTCCCCAACACCAGAAAATCATTTCCAGCCTCAGACCCCCCCCCCTCACCACTGCCCCAGGCCACTCACCCATCCTTGTTCAGTGTGACAGAAGGATTCAAGACCCCCAGTTAGAAAACCACTCTTCTATAGGATATAAGATTCCAGAAGCTGAAGTAAAGAATCCTGTCAGTGAGAGATCAATGGCCATCCTTGCCCATCCATGGATAGACTCTTTTCACACTGGGGAGAAGCCCCCCAAGGAATCTGAAAAAGAAGATGGGGAAATGGACAGTCAAAAGCCTGAGATACTATAATCCATACACAGATAAAATGGCCAAATCTTCGAGTCAGAAATGATCTTTTTTTTAATGTTTATTTGAGAGAGAGAAAAAGAGAGAGAGAGTGTGCACGCATGCACAAGCAGGGCAGGGGCAGAGAGAGAGGGAGACAGAGGATCTGAAGTGGGCTTTCGGG